TTTTTAGATTACTTCTTGTTTTTTTCAACCCTCGAAAAAATAAGGTTGCGAAAGTTTGCGAAACATGGGGTTTGGTGAGCTGTTTGTTGTTGAGATATCCCGACTAATTCCGTGTTTCCCTTCGATCGCCAGAAGTGGCAATGTGTTTTTTTTTCCCGTTGAATGTCGATCATTTATCAGTGTTTTTGTCTTGGCGCCATTGTTTTTTTATGCTATAACCGGAACAACTCGGTCACGTGATCTCCCGGAGTCGTCCGATTGACTCCGAAAATGACCGATAGTCAGAGATAAACGTTCATTTGCGTAAATCGGCTTATTTTTTAATGCGACAAAATAAACAGTCAAAATAAACATTCGACATCGCGGCAACTATCATAGTTCAAAGGAAACGAAGTGGTTGTTCTTCCTGGGGTTTATAGTTCCATGGTTTTATGTAAAGTGTACAACTCATGTTTAAACAACATTGAACCAATTCTTGTATGTCAAGTGAGTCATTTCAATATTCTTGAGCAGAGAAATATTTAAAATTGCGATGATTAGACACAACAACAATTGTTTTTTTTACCTAAAAAATTTGACAAGATAAATTTGTATGTAGTGGAGATAACATAAGTTTCAAAATTACAAAGATAACAAACTAAAGGATATAACCTGTATATAAAATACGGATACACAATTAGGTTTTATAAATTGTGTTTTTTAATTTGCAAAGAAAAACTGGAATTTTATAAAATTTTATAAAATAAAATAATGTTGGCAGAACAAAATGTGCTGGGGCTTTGATTACTGATACATGTTTTTTTAAACCAATTTCGATTTATATTAATAAATGATTGATAATACTGATACTGTTAATATTGAAAGTGAAATCAACTGAAATATTGAATTGAATAGAAACATAGGTGTGGTACATCAGTATTACTGTTTATGCATGAATGGGTGTCCTTATGTTACATCCTTAATATTAGCGATATACTGTAGAATACTTTATTTTCGCTTGGAATTTATTTTCGCTATTTTCGCTGAAGAGATGATCCTGTGAAAATAAAATCCAGTGAATATACTTTTTTTCCTATATTTCACATTAAACTCATGAAAAATCAGTGAAAATAAATTCCAAGCAAAACGCCCAAAAAGCCTTTTCAGCGAAAATTAATTCCAGCGAAAATAAAGTATTCCACAGTATTAAAAATTATGCAAGCTGGTGTGTATTTGAACTTCACAAAATTAATAATAATGCTTTACCTGATTGCCTTATTGCACTTAACATTTCACTGCATGGTTTCAATAAAACAAAACCATTTTCAACAAGTTTTGCCTCGGAAATGATAACCCTCAAGTTCTGATCTTAAAACCCAGCAGGTGTAGACATCACTGCTTGGGTGTCAGAGCTGGAGAGATCACGTCTTGATGAGTGACAATATCATTGACTCATGATGATAAACTTGTAGTAGTTTAACAACTCTTTTATGGGAAAACATAAAGCATTCAGGGAAGCATGAAAGATGTTTTGTTGTATACATTGTATACTTTGTAAAGTCATTCTAGTACCCGGTGTCCATTGTGTAGCCATTGATAGTTCACTCCATACACACTACTAGTAAAGTTTTTTTCTTCCCCATTAGGAGACTTGACACACACAAAATCTAGAAATATGCCATATATGCTCAACTTGTGTCAATGTGCTTTGTTGCCATAGGGATACTTGCAGTTTACATGTTCTTTGTAAATTCTCCTGAATCAATGGAAACATATGCAGCAACCCGTACGTTTGTATTGTTGTAATAATAATAACATTATCGTTAATTCAAACATTTATATTATTTTAACCCTGGCAGCTGCCAGCATTTATTTAAATGAAAAAAAATTAAATACCGGTAATGAAGAATCAATTTTTGTTTTCTGGCCTCATTATTATTTATTATGTAATAACCATAGCAACAGATAGATGCTGTTAATTTTATGAGACAACTTTCTTGTGTCAGGGAAACTAAAAATTTTGGTGTGTTAAATTTCACTTGCATACTCAATGAATCACAAGCAGTTATTTTTTTTAAAATCTTTTTTTGTTTATAATTATCTGCATTGAAATGGATAAAATTATTATTTTTGCTCACGCCACTGCTTAAAACTGGGTATCTTGTCCAGCCTGTCTGTGGTTTATAAAAAACTATACTGTTATCTATGGATATCTGTGATGCGCTATTGTTATGATACTTGTAACAGGTGTCAGTGATTGATCCAAATAAATGTACAATGTACTGACCTACAAATGATAATATCTGTATACTGGTGTGTGAGAGACAAATCACCCATTCAGTAGATGTGCTCAGTATTTGTATTTAGATTTTATATTTAGATATTTTTATTGACACATCACTGACTTAGGAAAGTACAGCAGTAAGGTCACTAAAACTACAAAACCCACAGCAATTGAGTGTGACTCTCATTAACACATCATAACTATGTTATACATATATAGTATAATAAACCACAATTACTTATACAATGTATGAAAGCAATGTGAAAATAATTATTATTATTTCCTGTTGGGTACAGTCCAAAATGTAAATTTATTTTTGGGGTTCTGTCCAATATCATTAACAATCACGGATTACTAATGGGTACACATTGAATAGTTTTTGGTTCCGTTGAACTGTGCTACATGTATGTACAGACCATACTTCTGTTGTACTGTTTTCATACATACTTTGTGACTTTCTTGCAATCATAAACTGAGAACAGAATTTAGTATTTTAGTGTCCCCCGAATTCAGGTATTCATTTGATTTTACTGGTAACACTGACTATATTTGTCTTCATTTATTTCTGATGAGTTAGTGAATCAAGTTGTTCACCATACTACTGTTGATGAACTTTATTGGCCTGTACAGTCGCTTATACATGTATCTGAGCTGAGTGATCTCACATACCTTGTTCTGACTGTTGTTGGGTGAACTAAAAAGTGTGCTTACTTTTTTCTTTGCTAATTTGAACTATCAATATTTCATAATGTCACATTTCCCATTTTGATTCATTTGTACATGAAATAAGAATTTTTATAAGATTAATTATCACCCATATTTACTTGCTGTCTTCACTGGTGTTGATAAATAGAACTGGAGACTACCGGTACAGTACAGTCATGCCTCACTGTGCATTGTAATTAGCATAACAATAGCATGTTGTAGAAATGTTGACCTAAAATTCAATGACATACATGTAGATGTCAAAAGGAAAAATATTCACTGGGTTAAATTCACTGTTTTTTGATGAAAACGCACATTCTTTGATTAACTCATCATGTACTGTGTACATGTTTAATTTTAACAGATTTAATGTTGGAAGTAATCACTAGGTTTTTAATTCACTGGTTCATAAAGAAACCTTAAAGTGCCTGTGCAATGCCCACTCTCACGTTTCCCATTTTAGATCTGTGTCCCACTGAAAAGGGTAGTTATTGATTTTTTTGCTGAAAATGATTACTCGTATCCAAGTAAATTTGGGATATTTCTCGTGTTGTAGCCACGCCCACCTATCGTGAAACGGTCCACTCAGTGTTCTCCCCACATAGAACAAAGCATGGCGGCACCGCCATGCTTGGCGACCCGGCCGCCACGCTTGGGCTCGGACCGCCATGCTTACAACTTCATCGCCATGCTAATAGGATGCATTGTTTACGTCCATTTGACCCGCTCACACGTAGCACTGCATAAATTATCACCGTCTACGCCACGGCGGTTTGAACTTGCCGGGACAAATTAAACAGTCCCATTGTTAAACACGTGTGAAGTACAGACGCTGTCAATGGGAAACAAATTGTCACTCGAGTTGCAAACACCGAGATGCTATACGACAAAACATGTAAAGGAAAAAAGGTGATGCCGCCCGGCTAAAACATACAATCACCGCTAGCACAGCACAGAAACGGAAGCGTGTAGAAACACAGAAACGGCGTGAAGCTGGTTTTGATGAGTCGTGAAAAAAGACATTTCCCTGGTTAAGGTCAATTGTTCAGGTAAGATTTCGTAATTTTAGAAATAAAATGCCAGTGTGTGTATGTTTTTCCGATCGTAAGATCACTGAACATGGTAGGCCTACACCGAATTCAATCAACATCTTAGACACGAGGCTGGTATAGACACGACATGAAAAAAAAACATCACTCGTTACTGTCAACTTTTTTTAGATTATTTATGGATATCTTCATAGATTAATGGGTACGCATATGTTATAATTTGTCCAAGCAAAAAAAAAATTGAATTTTGTAATCTTCCGGTCACATGTTGACCTGTGTAGGTATTTCCAAGATGACAGCTGCTATGATCGATGGAATCCCGATTTGTATACATAATTCTATTGTTACGTTTTAATTTTAATTGAATAGTGACCTCATGTTTTTTTTCCTCGAAATTCCCGAGTCTCCTTGTCGTTGACCTGACAAAACCAACATGTAAACAACATGTTTTGCAGACGAAATGCTATCCATACGACACTGGGTTCCCGATTGTGGCACAATAGATTCAATCGTTATGTTTACATTTATCATTTTTTCCCACTAGGAATGTTGTGCAGTTAATGCTCAAAGCACAACATGATTGCAAAGAGTGGATCTTCTTTATGGAACAAAGTCCCGTGCAAGTCTATGACGATCGAGTTTAACTACAGTAAGGCAGCCAATGTTTGGAGCACAACAAAGTCAGAAGGATTAGTTTAGACTAAGTTTTATGGAACAGTTCACATTAAATGACGATCTTGTCAAATTATGGTATATTATGTAAAGTATTATGTAATTTAAATAAAGTCTCATACATTTTAATACTGTCTTGTATGTTTGTTTTTGTGAGAGTGAATCCTGAAAAATATGCAAATTAGTATGCAAATTAGCATGCAAATTAGACCGCCATGCTTGCCTCTGAGCCTGGGGAGAACACTGGGTCGACTGTTTCCGGATTTCAGACTCTCGCCGAAAGTGCGCCACAAAATGTGAGAGGAAGTCATACCCCTGAGCCGTAATAACACTGGTCGTTCAGTATACTTTTAAATGATATACATTTTTCTGTCGGCGTTTTTTCTTTTTTTTTTGTCTATTTTTTTTTTTTTTTTTTTTTTGAGAGAGAGAGAGTTATTAGATGTTGTGTTGTGGGCAGTTGCAGTGAAATGTATGGCCATAATGTATGTATTCACATGTTTCTAATCGATCCAAAGGTGCGACATCACTTAACCTTAGATTCATTCAACTGTCCTCGTCCAAAAAACGACTAGGTTTAAAGAAAAACGCAGACAACGTAAACCTTGCGCAACACTTTTGAAAGAAATAGATTCCGGACCAGCCCATGATCACCGAGGCGGATTTCCTCGGTTTCCACCAAATAAAGTTTTAATACGATGTTATAATTCTGACAATCACGCCATGGATCAAGCTAACTCGAATCCACTCTGAATTTATCTGTATGTGTGTCGATATCGATTATTTTTGTTATCCAATTAAACGCCGCTTTTAACGCACTTGCCCTCGCCGTGACCCGACACGTTTACCTATTTCAACAAAATGTCAATTTATTTCCACGCGGCTGTCATTTATTTAGTAACTGTGATTTGTCGTTTTTTTAATTATTTTATAGTGATCACTATAGTCTAATGTTTAGAATGTCAAAATATGTTCTCTTTTATTTTAATTTTGAAAGTTTTACTCAGACGATTGATGAAATAAAACAGTGTAGTGACGTGCCTAGTAACCTGCTAAATAACGAGATAATTCCGACGTCGAATTCTATTTTGTCCAGCAACAGTGTACAAACATGCGCCGGTGTCGGTGATGATCACGGTGACCAGCTACACCAGAACGGACATATTTCGCATCTAACTCAACCCCATGCAACAAAAATTGATACTATGTGTTCATTATGGTCCA